TCTTGGAGCTATGCTGAGGTGCCCTTCCACAGCAGTGTCCCAGTCTGTGCTCTCCTGTCATGTCCTGGATCTGATCCTTCTAGAGAAATTAGAAGATCAAGTAAATTAGCTCTCCGCAATTACTCTAGAAATGTAATAGTCGTGCTGACAGAAAATAAATTTTATCCTCAGGTAAAAGATGTTTGTTTTAATATGGCTGTGCTAAACAATTTCTCAAATGACAAGCTCAGTATGATGGGAAAAAAGTTTGCTTTAAGTTGCACTTGTATCCTGTTTATACTTTGAGACAGATACATGAAATAATAATTACTTAAACATAAAGTTACCTTTATGCTTTGTTTCAATATACACATTTAATTCGATAGCCTGAATTACACTCTTACCTAGGCTAACCTATGTTAAAACTATCTTTCTGAATGTTAGCTGAAGTTGCAACGTATTTCACTGAGCTAAACTTGTGTGTGTGTGTGTGTGAATGGGTGTGCTTCATTTTTAAGGACAGTTCTGCTAGCACTGACACAGGTCAGTTTGACTTTTTGCCCAGTACTTACGTAAGAAGTCAGTATAAAAAAATGGGTTTATGGAATTTGATCTGTACATCTTGTATTTGCTGCCCAAAGCTATTAATTTATGCCCAGAGAGAATGAAGAGCACAGAACACTTCCTAGATTTTGAGAACTAAGTGTAGACCTGGGAGGAACGTTTTGAAAAATTTTAAGAGTATTGTTACTCTTAATTTTTTTTTTCTTAAGTATACAGCAAAGAAAGTAGCATTTCATGAAACCCAGACTATTTTTCTCTATAAAAGGGTATCTTCTTTTATTTTAATACAAAAATAAAGCTATGAATCACAGTAAGTCTGAGTGTTTACCCACTGATGGAAGAATAAGTAGTAGCCAAACACAGTGAGAAGCTTTCTTTTTTTTCTTCCCCTTCCCGGTTACTTTTTTGCATTTTGTCAGAAATCGGTGCATGTTTAGTAGGAAATATGCAATGGAAAAGAAGATTCTAGACCCAAGAAAATTGGCAGCCAGACTCTTAAGGGCAAAGCAAAGGTGTTTAGTGGTTTGGTTTTGTTTGTTTGTTTTTTTTGTTTGTTTGGGTTTTTTTGTTAGAGCTCTTGAAGAGATTTAAATTATCAATATCCATTTTATCAGGAAGTCCTGTGTGCTTTGGCAATATGCATATGTAATTCTTGCTCAAGCATAAGTCCAATAGCACACAAACTATCGCTGCATTTTTCCAAATTGATAGTTAACAGATAGCCCAGTCACCGAGCAGAGACGGCCTTTGCTGGCATGTCATCTCTTTTCACAGCTTTCTAACTCTCTGTACAGCCCTTCTTAGGGTCACAAATATGTTATATCAATGCAAAGATACTTAGGGAGGAGTTTATCTGTTAATGTTTAGTGTTAAATGCAGCTTTCATTTTAGGTCAGATACTACCCAGTGCTGTGGGATCAAGGAAGACTTCCAGGTTCTTTGTCCGAAGCCAAAACTTACGTCTTTGTGATACGTAAAAAACAACCTCTCCCTGCAACACCCCCTCCGCCCCCCAAATCCTCCTCCCAGATTTTAGAGTTTAGAACTGTGTAATACAGGCACAGTGTTTGAAATACCAGTTTGACATGTTGTAAAAGCAATCATGACATAAAAAAATTGTTTTTCTTTCAAGAGTTATGTGAAGGGAAGTGACATGAGTGCTAACTTGTAAAATTTGAAAACTGAACACCTGGAGATAATTACATTTTTAAATGTTTTCAGGCTGAGTCAGAGTTAATGGCAAATGGGAACCATATTAGATTGGCAGGTGATTAGTAGAATTTATCATTATAATATGCTTAGCATGGTAGTCTTGATTATTCAGTGACGGTTTGTGTAGTAATTTTTCAATTAAGAGACTCTGTCAGTCTGTCAATAAATACGTTCATTAGATCAAGTATGCCATGCTTAAAACATGTCTGGTTTCAAAAATAATATTAGCTTTCTCCAATAAGACATCAGTTGTATTAGATGGTTTACAAAACAGACCTTAAGCAGATTTCACTTAAAAACATGAATTTTATAAAAAGACTGAAACATTAAATATAAGCAAATCCTAGTAGCAGCCCTACCTCTACTTGTGTGTAAGTCAACACAAAACAGGTCCAGGCAGGTTACAAAAAGTTAGCTGAAAAGTCTTCTCATTTTGTTGATAAACTACACAAGTCCTGGTTACGTACAGAAGGAGTAAGTGAAGGTTTCACAGACTTACAAAGTTACAGTATCTTTTTCAGAAATTCTCCCAGAATTCTAGAAGAAGCTCATTTGGCTTTTGTGTGTGTGTGTGTGCGCATGCGTGTGTGTGTTACAAATCATATGTCTGTCTGTAGAATGGAAATTCTCTCTGATGGTAGATTCTAATCTTGGTGTGTGATCAGCCATTAGCCTCAGTTGTCTTAGGTAATTTTTTTTTATGATCAGCAGTTTAAAACACTTTCTTTTTATATTAACTCACTTGTATTGAGATTGGTGCTATGAAACATTCATGTAAGTAGTAGTCCGTAACATCTCGGTTTAGTACGAGAACAGTACCAGTTAAAGTTGCCAGAAAAGAAGTGTTCATATCATTTGGATTAATAGCTGAGATTCATATTTTGTCTAGCTTATTCCTAATGATGGGACGCAAGGAGGTACTCAGTCTTATTCTAATCCCATTCTCATCTGCCAGGTTTTTTCCAAGGAAGTAACACCCTTTCTTCCTTTTAAAAAAAAAAAAAATCAAAACAAACTCCCAAAGATTGCATTAGTCATCCACTGGTTTATTAGAGATTATTTGTAACTGTGATAAGAACTTGGACTTTGAATTTTCTAAATATGCAGAAGGTGGAAGAGTATTGAGCAATTTTTCTCATTATCTTGCAGAGTAATCTCACAGGGTGTAGCATCGCTGAACTAATGGCCCTCAAATAGTAACTTATCAGAGCTGCTCAGGGATTCTTGCCATTGCTATAAAAAGACATTTGGCAATATGCAGTATGTCATATTAGAAGCACAGCCATTTACTAGAACATAAATATGCTAACATACTTCACTTACAAACTCTACAGTGGCATCTGGTTCGAGAAAACTAACATGATTTTGGACATCACAGGTAACTAGTTGTTCTAAATACTATAGTTTTGAAGCAGTTGTTTCTTGAGATGGGTGATAAATTACTGCATTTGTTATGTGTTTCTCTTGGGTGTTTCACCTGACCTCTCGGAGCTTTTTGGTAAATACTAATTAAGAAGTGATGACTCTTTTGCAGAAGGTTCATTAGGTAGTTTGCATCCATTTTGCAGTTAAACAGAGAAACACACATCACTTGGATCAGTCTCAGGTCTCATTTCTTGACTGGAGTTCCCTAGTCTAAGCTCTATGTTTCCCACCCCAAGCTAATGAACATATTTTACATGCTGCTTCCTCACCTCTCTAAGAAATTAGCTTGCCAGGTGTTAGACTCCTATGCCTTCCTCTTGCACCGTGGCTTGCCTTTTCCCCCCTGGTTATTGCTGTTACAGTCTTGCTTGCAGGCGCCGTGCAGCGGGTGATGTGCCAGACAACGTTGGTGCAGGGTTGGTGCTGGCTTGTTTGATGGCTTCCAGCTATGAATGGAGTCCTGGTTGGTCATCGTCTGCGTGGCACATGATTGCTGTATTTAGGACTGGGGCGAAAATAGGTCATATATGCAGAACACGGGTATATTAATTTACATTTTCCAGAGTGTTACAGACTTCTGTACAAGTTGCACTGGACTTGACTTTCACTCTTGGCTGTAGGTGTAACTTCATGAGTAGCCTGCTTCTTTCGTAGTTTAAGTAAACTTAAGTCAAAATCTGTAAGCTGATCCTGGGATTGATCGATAGTGGATTTGGGCACCTTTCACCTTGGCTGAGAAAGAGGTGTTACCACTGTCGAGGAGAGAAGTGCCTTTCCACTCCCCTGATAGACCTGCTGATTCTTGGTTCTCTCTTAGATCTGTGGTTTGCATGTACTTGGTTGCCAGACATGTCTCTTAAGCAGGTGTTGATTACACTGATCATCGAGGAAGCACAGGTGTCCAAGCATCGGTCGAGCAAACGGTCAATTAAGGTGCCCATGTGTAGGCAGAGCTGGGTACTCCCTGAAGCTGTCAGCTGTTTTCTGACTAAGAATTTGTTGTTCCAAAGAACTATCTTTATAACATACGCTATTTTAACGGAAATGGTGCTAGCAATATATTAATGTTAATGGTTTAATGTTAACTAAATAATTTCTTTTCCAACACATTCATTGGTGGAACCTGACCACTCTTAATTCAAATGTTGAGATTTTTTTTTTTTTTTTGGCAGAAGAATATCTGTTGCTCCTTTTGATGTTGTTCCTAAATAGAAATCCTATCGAATTAATCAGAGGAAAATAAAACAAAGCAAAAAAACCCCAAAACACAACACCCCAAAAATACAATTTAGGTCAATACTTGAGCTGCTGTTCTCAGGGGCGTTCCACCTGAAGGTCTGGTAGACCATACCAAAAGATTGTCATGAAGTGAAAGTTAAAATGTTGGCTCCAATGTAATTTTGACCATTAGAAGACATATTTACAGATAATTGTTATGCTTTGAGGAAATATGATATTTAATCTTGCTTGGCCTGAGGATAGGGGTCTCTGCTTTGTGTGTCTGAGGTCTAGGTCTGATTCTCACTTTCTTGTTCTTTAAGATGGAGAGTGAGTGGGGAGTGTTATTAAAAGCTAAGCTTTAGTGGCTGAGGAATGTAGCTCCCGAAGTTAAAAGAGATTCCCGTAACCAGCTGGGGACCAGCAATGAGTGGAGCCTCATGGAATACAGTGAGGCTTGAATCCTCTATGCTCTGTGTGTGGCAGGGGACCTCCTAAGCCAATAAAGGAAAAATGTTAATGGAGTAAATGACAACATGAAGTATTTAAGAATTGTTTCTGTATGGGAGCTTAAACCCCCTTTTTTTTTTCCTCCTTTTCAGAAAGAAGACACAGCTCCTCCAGCAAGCCGCCTTTGACTCCTCCCTCCTCTTCAGTATTTTCCCTCATTTCATCTTTCCCTTCAAAAAACAAAGGTAGCAGTGGAAGTGGGAGCAATCGTTCATCCAGTGGAGGTACTAGTGCATCATCATCAAATTCCAAGTTGTTGAAATCGCCCAAAGACAAGCTGCAGATCAGCGGAAACAACAGGTTAATGCATTCGGTACAGCATAGCAAAGTTCCCCATGATAAAATGTGAGTATGTGTTTTGACAAAGAATTAAATGTTCTTATTTGCATAGACACTGCTATATCGGTAGAATTTCCTTTTGTTTCAGAGGTTTTTTGGTTTAAGAGATAATCACTTTAAACTCCTCCAGATCTTTTCCAGCTACCTAGTCTAAGATTATAGATAATGCTTATGACTGTTGAACAAGAACGCTTGCAAAGCTGCGTCTTGAATCACTATAAATAAAGGTCGTTTTACTAGGGGCTCTTAATTCTTTGATCTAATCTGCATACTTTGATTATAAGAGAGCTCTGATTCAGGTGATTTTTGACCTGCACATGTGAGATTGCAGAACTGGTAATACAACTTACTGTCACAGAATGGGGCATTTCTCACTGGACACAACAAGCCCATTCCAGTTGCTTTGGTGATACACTGTATCTGTGAATCCAAATAACAATTTCTGAAGTCCCTGACGTCTCTCTGAAATACTTACGAGGAAATGGGGAAAAGAGGACAGAAGAGGTTATGGACATCATAAAAAAATGTGAAAATAAAAAAGATAAGAATAAGAAAACTGGGAACGAAAGAGGAAGGTCTACATTTGCATTATGAATAGATCAGAGTATTGGCGAATAATAGCATATTTAAAGTACTCCTTATAATTTATGACTATAATTTTCAATTCCCCCCCTTTGTTTTTCATAAATAATAGTATGACTCCATCTGTCAAAGTGGAAAAGATTCATCCAAAGATAGATGGTGCCCAACTGAAAGCTGCTGTTGGTCCAACTTGTTCTACTACTGTGAGTTCCTCAATAAAGACTGGCCTTAATTGTCCCTCAATACCAAAGCCACCCTTGCCTTCCCCTGGACAGATACTGAATGGTAAAGGTCTTCTCTCTGTGCCTCCATTTTTGGAAAAGAAATCTGAAGAAAATACAAATAATAGGAAATTTTTACATAAAAGATTGTCAGGTAATTGTTTTTAATTATTATTTGCTATATTCCTTTTAGTAGTGTATCTATAGAAATACATATATAGGATATATAGAAATAAGTTTCAGAAGTAAATTAAACACTTTTATAGCACTGTAACTTGTAATGAGGTATGTTTTATGTATTAGAAATTAAATCTATAACTTGACATACTTCTAAAGGACGCAAACAACTTGCAGTGTGGCTGTTGCTTTCAGAAACCATACAGACCTCAAAGGCCTGTCAGTTCTTACAGTTTTAAAGTTATGTTTTTCTACTGTCTTTAAAGATTTTCTTTTCCTTTTTTCTATATGGAAGATCCAAATGTACATAGAAAATGGAACAACTAGCACCGCATAAACTCAAAAATGTAAACCCAGTCTGCTCTTTACACTTTTTAAACACAGTAACTTTGAGTGTGAGTAGAATGGTAGAAAAGTTCTTAACACCAAAACCAACAACAAAAACCCATCCTTTGTTTATCGCAGTTCATATTGATGGTGACCTCTAATCCTAACGTGGAGGATCTACTCCTCCTTTGGGGTCCCTTACAGCTGTAAATTTCTCCATTCTGCTTGTAGACTTGAGATCTGTATTTCAGCACACCATAAACTTGCTGAGAGTGTAGAAAACTTTATTTCTACAGTTTTATTGTGCATTTTTATTTGTACATTTGCCTGTGTTACATTTGAAAACAGTTTCCAGTATGATTCCTTTTTATAATGAAAATAAATGTTAGTATTTCAAAATGTCTTTGGATAACTTTTCGATACTGTGTACCTTTGACAGAGAGAGAATTTGATCCTGATATATACTGTGGTGTCATTGATGTGGAAACCAGGAAACCTTGTACTAGGTCTTTGACATGCAAGGTAGGATATCTTAATCAGAATAAGATTATCTAAAGTTTTAATTCAAGTTCCTGCGGAATATGACAGGAAATAGAGAAGTACAAATTTTTGCTGTCAGTGATTACCACTGTAAATGGTACCTCTCCAAACATGTTGCCCAGAACCAAGAATGAATTGTTTTCAAAGTTCAGTTAATTATTTATTCAAAACCGTATTTCTTAAAGTAACCTGGAGATTTGTATCTCTGTATAAACTATTGAATCATGGATGTTGATATGGGACAGATTATGTTACGCCACATGTAGGTAGTAAGGGGCCAACACATTCTTCTTTTTGGGGATAACCTTTGAGTCATAGATCATGAATTTTAAAATTCCTCATAAACATTAGAAGTATTATTTGTTTATGCAGGATTTAAATAAATCAGGCTCCTCCCCTCTCACACCCCACCTTTTCCCCCAGCAGAGTCTGCAGCAGATACTTAGGAGGTATTTGCGTAAATGCTAATGCTGCTTGGTGTACCGCTACAGCCAACTCGGAAATGAGTATTCTGAAAAAGCCACGGAGTATGCCTAGAGGTCAAGCTCTAAATTAAACAATCTGTAAAAACTTTTGGTCACGTGAAATGTGTCCTCCAGCTCAAAAATCTTGGGGGACAGAGGGGTATCCCTTAGTCCTGAGGAGGAACCAAAAATCCAGATCCCCTGCAATTGTGTAATATTTAGCGACTTTCCTGCAAAGCAGCTGAGCTGTCAGTAGGGGAAGCATCTGGTAAATAAACCACCTACAGAACAAAGGTAAATGAAGCTGGTACTAATGACCCGGAGGAACTGAACTTGAACAGTTGCCCTTTTGGAATTACAGGAGGGAGGCAATTGTTTTGCTAATAGAGGAGAGAAAAGCATCAAGATTTTACAAGAGAACTAGGCAAATTAAAAGTGTAAAAGAGAAAGAAAGTAAAAATGTTTCTCAGCAATTCCTTATATTATACCTACTTATAAAATATTTTTCGGAATTGGTATTTGTGTCTGAATTATGTGATAATTTTTACCTACTAAAACGAACCCAATCAAACCTTTTATGCCATATAAAAAAAAAAAGGTATCGTATGTGACTTTAACAATTCAGAAAAATAACTTACCATCTATTTCACTTTACCTAGAGTTTGTGCCATATATACACATATACATCTTACTATGTGTAGCATTCAGGACACTCAAAGGACTTTGAGTTCCGTCTGACTGTGGATTCCGCTGTATTTTTTGCATTCCTTAATATCTATTTGATTACATTAGTTTTCAAGGAATATATTAGAAGGAAGCAAAGTATTTTTATAAATATTTCTCATGTCTCCCATTAAAAGTGTAATTTTAAACAGTATTGTGTTAAATATTTTCATAAGTGAAAATAAATATTTAGCATTTTTGGTTGTGCACTAGTTGGCAATTAAAATATCAATGTAAAAAAGACTTTTCAATTCTAGTCTTAACCTTATAAGAACTTTTGCAGTTTCTTTTTAAAAAAGAAATTTGAAAGAAGCCTTTTACTCAATTGCTGGGTTTTGTTATTTTGTATCAGACAGGGATATAATCATCCACCAAGCAATTTTAAAGTTTGTTTTCTCAGTCATTCTTCCATTTGTTTACTAAACCATGAGTGTGATGATTTTCTCTGGTTTAGAGCTCTAGACACGTGTTTTGAGTGTTTATTTCCACAAATCTAATAGCCTGGGATTAATGATTTATTCATGGTTTTGCAGACACATTCCTTAACCCAGCGGAGGGCTGTACAGGGTCGAAGAAAACGATTTGATGTGTTATTAGCCGAGCACAAAAGCAAAACCAGGGAAAAGGAACTTCTTCGACATTCGGATCATCATCAGCAGATGCCCCCTCTCAGGGAACCACATCCCTCACCTACTAAAACTTCCCAGGAGCTGCACCAAAATTCTTATGGAGTTACTCTTACAGAGTCAAAGCCTTTATTACCTAATAAACCCAAACCTCACCCCCCCAGTCTTCCAAGGTAAGGAAAATCTGCAGATCCAATGGTATGAAATTAATACTGGTAGCTTCATCAGGTGACTTTGAAAGAGCGATGTGGATCTGTTGGACGGGGCAGTATTTTTGCTTTAGGCCTGGTGACTGTCTGTCTGCAAGTAGCAATTACATGCTGAGCTGTAACTCCTAGCAAGGAGGGTATGGTGTTTGAAATAGTAAAAGCTGACTTGCATCGATGAAAGCAGTTCAGCAGCGATTGGGCAGTGCTACTTTTCCAGGGGTACCATACCTCCTGTCCTTCCTCACGGTAGATGTGTTATGAGACTACGGAAAATATCAGAAATCTGTTAATGTAGGTTTCCTTCTGTCAGTAATAGTAAGCACTTAAGCTTGGAATTTTTATCTAGACTTAGTTCAGTAACACCTTTACTGCTTGCCTTGCCCAGGCCTCCAGGCTGTCCAGCCCAGCACAGTGGAAATGCCCCTAGCGAGTCTCCTTCTGTCCATGAGTCCCCGCACCCTCCCTTGCCTGCAGCTGAGCCAGCATCTCGGTTATCCAGTGATGAGGGAGAATGTGATGAAAAAGAAGAGCCTGTTGAAAAACTGGATTGTCATTATTCAGGTCATCATCCTCAACCAGCCGCTGTACGTTCTAAGTAAAAGTTAACCTTGGTCTCTTGCAGGCTCTGAACTTGTAAACAAATGACTTGGGGGTTTTAAGGGTGGTTATGGGTTATCACCTATTGGGTATGTGATTTTTGGTTTTTCTAGATGTTAAGAAAATTGTTTTGTTGCCTAGTAGGTAGTGAAGGCAACTGTAGTTGTAAAGTAAATGTGCTAAAGAAATATGTTTGGAGCTCACTTCCCCAGTCCAAACGAAATCAAAATGCCAAAATACTGAAGATGAAATTGGTAACTGCTCTAAAGGGCTGTGGTTTTGGAATAAGGACATGTAGACAGTGCCTTTTTGGTGAGATTTTGTTGTTGGACTTGACCACACACACACACACACATTTTTTACTCAATGTGCCAGTCATCACAGTAAGGGTAGTGGTAATGTGTTGCTTTAATATTTAAATCTTGACAAAAGCTAGTTAGTCTAACTAAAAGCACAAGCTTTATTGCCTAGCCTGTATATAAAATTGTCTCTGTTTTTTAAATAATGGTTTTACATACACACACAAACACACACTACTGTACTTCCCTGTTTAATCTGAGGGATTCAAATCTGACCACTGCTTTTGGCCAGAAGTATCAGATGAGAAGAAAATTATCCCAATATACCAAGGCCAGAAATTTAAAATAGTTGTTATACCATAGAAATAAAAATTCTAATGCATTTTTTTATCCTTGATTTAAACGTCTAAAAGCATATTTGTTTAGCCATATTTATTTATTAAAAAGTGCATTGTTATTCAGAGAGTTGTTACTGAAAGTAGAAAACACCAATAAAAATCTGTCTTTTCAGTTTTGCACATTTGGTAGTCGGCAAATTGGAAGAGGTTATTACGTGTTTGACAAGCGGTGGAACCATATTCGATGTGCACTTGACTTCATGTTGGAGAAGCATCTTAATTCACAGATGTGGAAGTGAGTAGAAGTGAAAGAGTTCTTACTCTTCTTGGTATTTGTAGAAATACATGAAGCCTGTGATTCTAGTTACAGAACAGTAACCTTGTATTCAGATTAATCGGATCAAAGGTTGATAGTCTATGCTTTACATTTTTGCAACAATTAACTATTAATTTAATGAAATATTTTAGTGGCATTAATCAGCCTCAAGATACAATCAACTTTAATGTAGATACCCCCGTAATGAGACGGGGTGTTACTCCGAAGAATGGTAGCTATGTAGGTTTTTGTTTGGTTTTCTGTTCACCTGCAGGAAAATTCCTCCAGCATCTGGTAACACAGCATCAGTTCGTGCACCACATCGGACAAACTCGATGCCTGCTTCACAGTACGGTGTCAGTGCAGCAGGTTTCCTCTTACCCACCACGGTTATGTCATCGCCAGCATTGGTATCTCCTTCCTGTGTGTCTCTGAATAATAAATCGGTACCATCACATGGAACGACACTAAATGCCAATCCTGCTAGTCTGGGTGCAGTGGATCCTGTCTGCAGTATGCAATCAAGACAAGTGTCTTCATCCCCTTCAACACCTACAGTGCTTTCCTCTGTACCTTCACCTATGCCCAGCAAACCTCAGAAAATGAAATCCAGCAAATCTTTTAAACCTAAGGAATCTTCTGCTGGCAGTGGCACCTGTAACAGTACCGGCAGCGTCAGTAGCAGCGGCGGCTCAGGAAAGAAGCGTAAAAACAGTTCCGCACTGCTAGCACCTTCTCATTCCACAGAGTCCTTTAGAAAAAACTGTGTGGTTAACTCTGGAAACTCTGGGACCTCCTATCATCCATCGGTGACAGCTTCGTCCCACAGCGTTGGCCTCAACTGTATGACTAGCAAAGCTAACTCTGTTAGCCTCAAACATGACCAATCAGGGAGGGGTCCTCCGACTGGAAGCCCTGCAGAATCGATAAAGAGAATGAGTGTGATGATGAACAGCAGCGACTCCACGCTCTCCTTAGGGCCATTTGTTCATCAGTCCAGCGAGCTGACTGTAAATTCACACAGCAGTTTTTCACATTCGCATACTTCCCTCGACAAATTAATAGGAAAGAAAAGAAAGTGCTCACCTGGTTCAAGCAGCATAAACAGCAGCAGCAGCAGCAGCAAATCAAACAAAGTTGCCAAATTGACATCGGTGAACAATGTTCATGCAAAACACACTGGTGCAATCCCAGGGACACAAGGACTGATGAACAATTCTCTTTTTCATCAGGTATGAAATTTTGTCTCTAACTAAGCCAATATGAACATGGCTCTTTACATGCCTGTATTGGATGTGTTCTCTTAATTATTAGCTAGCCAATTCCAGATCCTGTTCAAGTAAAAGACAGTTCTCTTATTTGTCCACTACTCATTTTGAGTGTTTTTATAGTACATTTACACAAGATTTTTATAAACGCTCTCATAAAGTGTAGCTTTCTTTTTTAAAGTAACCTTAAATATCATGATCCAAGTTCCTTAAGTATTGCCTGTGAATTACGCTTGGATGAAATTCAGTCCTCACGCTTTAAAAAAATAACTTTAGAAGTAAATCTTGCCAGCCTGCCATGGAACTGAGCTGCATGTCTCAGCCTGATTTCTTGTTTCTGAGTCAGTAATAAACATCCTACAAAGTGGAACATAACGATGCTGATAACAGAACTGTGATACTGTGATAAAATAAGCCTATTATCCCAAGGTGTCATTGGCTAACTTCTTAGTAATAACGAGATTAAATGTTATAAATAAGATAGAAACCTTTTTAGTCAGTAAAGCAAACAGATTTACTATAAAGGCAGCAGATCTCATGAATATGTAAGATACCATTTTAAAAATTAGTTTGGGGTTTTGGTTTTTTAAACAAATTCCACTGGAAAAGTAGTGTATTGGGAGAGAAAGTTCTTGAGAAATTGGGATGAGAGATAATTTAGAAACCAGTAGCTCAGACTTCTTAATAAAACTGTTCAAATTGGCTTGGAGGATCACTTGGAGGGGTAAAAATAATTTCATACAGCTGGAGGAGAGTATAGAAGATATTAGAAGAATTGTAGAAAGTAGCTTTAGAACTAGATTTTTCAAGATTGAAAACCCAAGAAATTTTTTGTTTCCTCTGGTGCTAATAACCTGCAATCTGTACCTGGAGAGCTAGGAGGTCAGTAAGAGCTTTTTCAGAACGGTTTCTGAATTTTCAGTTTCAGCCACAGAGGAAGATTTTCACCATTATGTTGTGTTTACTGTAACCAGAAAAGCATTCAGACGGCTGAATTTATTTTTGGACTTATCTAATACTTACTATTTCAACTGTGCAATATAAATAAAGGGGGAATGTAATTTGAGTGAATTAAGGAAGGAAATCATGTCTGAAACCGTTACAACTTTAAAGAGCTCTCCCTTGAGAATTGTCAAGTCTTGGAGAAGCCAACCGCATGTTAGTGGTGTCACATCGTGCCTGCTGATTGTCCCCCAAATATGCTCTTGTTATCCAGAAAATATCTGTAAAAATGTCTTTTAAGGGCATCTGCTGTAACAGCTTGGCTCACTCATCCTCCTCTTTCTTTTGCTTGCTCAAAAGCCAAAGGCACGTCCCTGATAGCTGAATGCACCATGGTGAGAAACGAACTGGACAATTTTCACTACAAGCAAAACCTCCATCTGGAATTCTGGACTCCAAGATGCCTTGACTTTTCCCAACTTCCCATGGTCCTCAGGTGTGGAAAGCTACTGGACTGTCACTTAAACAAGGAATTTCCCTGAAGCCATGTCTGTAGCAGCGAATATACTAGAAATGGACACTGGATGAAGTTCAGCCACATAATTGCTCTTATCAGTGTTAACGGTGGTCTGGACTGTTTGCTACAAATCTGTGAGATTTTACTTACAGGAGTACGTCATCTTGCCACTATTTGACATAGATTGGCTGGGCAAACGAATGTTTTCTGGGGGGAAATAAACGTTACTGTGGACTTATTTTTATACTGATGGTGTCTTTTGTAGGTGATAGCTAACCAGACAGACACCCTCAATGGAGAGGACCCCGCGACAAGGGGGAGAAATGTGTGAGGCACAATGGAAAGAAGCCCTCAAGAAGGGAATATGGCTTTAGTGTTTTTATAGCAATGTTCCTTTAATGGAATATAAAAATAGCACAATTCAAAAAATAGTCTGTGTTTTGCCCAGCCTTTTGCAAGTAATTTGGGATAAGAAGCTATCAGGAGTTTAAAAAACAAAACAAAACAAACCCAACAAAAACCAGAAAAACTTGTTTGAGGCCATCGCTCAGAAAACAAGTATAAAAATGTCATACTTGCATGATACAAAACCTATTTTCTATTCTTTTGAATAAGATTTGATTGCAGAAGAAAATAAAAGTTAATTTTGCTTTTCAAAAAAAATCCAAAAATAACAGACAAAGGCAAATAACCTCTAAAACTGTATGCCCAAAGAACGTATTTATTGGCCTATACTGTGTACCATAGGCCTTTGTTATTTAAAAAAAATAACAACTGTATTGGTTAAATTAGGCTGGGTTTGCCTTCCGGCCGGTAAAAATAGCCCTTTTAAAACTAAGTATTTAAAGTATTTAAATCTTTTCTAAAAAACATAGAAGTCAGTTACTTTATGCCTTGTTTGTAAAACTAAATCCTTAACATGTAACGCTTTCAACCACAGAGTAAGATTTTCAAAATTCTGGAATGAACGCCAATTTGACAGCCGAGTTCACTGTAAAGCGCAGATGTATGCATCGCAGTCAGCCCACACCTACCCAGGCTTGAAGAATAAAGGGGGCTTTACACAGTTTTATACAGTCCAGTCAATTTTTATGAAATATTTTGTCTTGCTTCGAAACACCTCAAAAGTTAATTCTGCTAAAGGGCTTATTGTATTATGATTTGATTTGTCTGGATGTTTTTGTTAAGTTTTTAAACATCGAGTAAAGTCTCAAAACTGACTCAACTTTTATTAAGGGGCAAAGCAAAGGAAAACAAATTCCTGACCAAGAAGATATTTTTTTCTGCCTTAAAGGGGCACCAGCTATTGCTGAGAAGAGACAATCTGAGCCTGTCCAATTGTTCGCGTAGCCCAGCCTTCTCCCCAGTTCTGGTGGCAAGTAGTACATCAGGGAATCCAAAGCCACTCTGAGTAGCAGTTGCTTAGTTGTTTACCTAACGATGCTTTCAGTTTAACCTGAACTTGCTACAAAATCAGTGTGATACAGCAAAACAACAAGAAGCCTCTATGCAGACACGTTAACTTTGCATTCATATAAAAGATCACATTGAGAAAGCAACGTACTAGAGACACTTATTATGCAAACTTTAAAAAAAAAAAAAAATAGACACCTTTTCAGGAACAAAAGGATTCATATTTAATATGATGCCCTCTTGAAAGGATTGTTAGAACTGCGATTGGTTTAACGTAAAAGGAACCAAAGTGATATGCCACAAAGAGAAATCAAAGCGTATTAAATCCTGCATGTTTGGAGTGAAATCCACGCTCTGATGAAGTCCCTGGGGCAGAGCTTCCACTTCAGGATAGCGTCAGTCACAAGTGCAATTTGACTCTTGATAGAGACAAAGGTAAAGGAAACAAAAATTTGGCAAGATTGAACGCCGGCGGGTTTGTGATCGAACCCTCCTCTGTTTGTTTTTTTTTTTTTAAGGTTCTGTTGATCTGAAAGCATAAATGGCAAATTCGTGCTCCTTTGATAGCATGCAGACGTGTTTAAAAAGTGAATTTCTGAGCGCTGCTCGTACAGAGCCAGTGTCTGCAGTCACCTGCGTCGTGTGGGTTTAAGCCATTGGGGGTAAAGAGTTAGAACATCGTAAATTCTGTCTGCCCTTGAGCATAGACCTGCTTAAATAGTATGTTTTAGATCTTGGTTATAAGCAGAACATTGTTCCTGAAGCTTTTATTGTCACATAGTTCTTACTGTAAATAATTAAGGAAGCTTAAAATTAATTTTCCTTGCAAAATTGAATTTGCAGTGGCTGGGTTGTTTCTAGACAGATTTTGGTATTAATTTAAGAGATACAGTTTTTATAGTCTTTCCAACTTCTCGTTATGACTCCTGCAGTTTTCTTAACCTAAAAAATTGCTGCAATGATGAACAAAGAATTATACAAGAAAAAAAACATACTTTTGTATCTTTATTTTGGAATTTCTTGTTCTATTATAAATATTGAAGTATCCCTATTTCAGAAGACATATTTTGTTAATTGATTGTACATATTTAAATATGTATTTTTGCACAGGTCTTTTTTTCTTATATCCAGTTTTGGTACAATTGAGATCATCTAGTATTTATTTATTAATTAATTAAAAAAAAAAAAAGCAAATACCTTTTTATAATTTGAAGTGGTTCACTGCCAAGCCAATAGTTAACATGCCTACTTTGCAACTTAAGGGATGCCTCCGTTTTGTGAAAGCTGTGTCCCTTTTCGCGTCTTGGGAGCGGATACATGCGAGCTATTGCCCGGGTCCTGCGGTCGGGTTCTGCCGCGGGAACCCGAGCGCAGGATCGGAGCCGAAACGGTCGATACGGCATCGCTTGTCAGTTGCCTGATTCCCAGAAGACTACATTTAGTTAAGTGACACACTGCTTCTCTTTTTTTAGTGTTTGTGTGCGTGTGTGTGCGTGCGCATTTGTGTGGGTCTCATGTGGTTTAAAACTAACGGAAAAACTGAAAGTGCCTGATATAACTAGTTTTAAGCTTGGACTGTTTAGACAGCTTCTCCTTAAAAGACTTGAATGTTCAGTTGAAATTTTGGAGCTTGCTTTTTCCACCTATATATAAATATATGTGTGCGTATATATATGTATGTGTCCGTGTATATATATACACACACATACATATATATATATATTTTCTGAAATTAATGAGATGGGTTGACAAAAGAAAGCGAACGATGCTGGTAACTTTTGTAAAATCTTTTAATTAGAATACCTTGTGTTGGAACAATCCCACTGATAACACATTTAATACAACGCCAAGGGTTCGAAATATGGTTTTAACCAGCCGTTAAATATATTTAAGTGTCTCCTTTGGGGAAGGGAGGGAGAGGGGAAGTTATTCATTCATAAATGAAATAATATAGAAAATCTTCACGATAGTTGGTATTCCAGGAAAACAAAACAAACAAAAAACCCAAGTAAGTACCTCTTAAAACCATTAAAAGATAAAGATGTGATTTCCACATGACATTTCTAAGGCAGTTGTCTTCCTGTAAGAGTTCTCTTGCCAAGGAATCTCTCTCTCGTCTTTCACTCATTCTGTCCTGGAGGAGGGAATTGGGCTTAGAAAGATTCTTAGATGTTTCACTGTTCAGCAGAAAATGATCATTTTTACCTTTTGTGCAAGATATTTTACGTTTTAAAGATAATTTTAAAATGAGCACTACATAATGTCAATGTGAATGTAGGCCTTGAAAGCATCTTGCTCGGTGTTGAGCCTGGTTCTAAAAGCAATCTCCTGTGTAAAATGTGTGAATAGTTTGATAATTTGTATACATAATCAAGAGCATCTGATCAGCTGAACTCTGTGTTGGCTGCTGTATAGTACCTGAACAAATGTCATGGGATAGAAAAATTACTTTCGATATTTAAAAGAAAAATAAATATATAGTCTATTTGTTTTGTAACAAGTTTCTGTAAATAAAATAATTTATACTATTTATAAGAAAAAGTTGTGCTTTGCTTCATGAAAAAGATTAGTTTGTTGAACAAACATGTTACTAAACAAGGCAATAAAATTAGGACTTTTCAATAAATGAGGTTGGTTGCATGGAATACATTATATGTTTCTGCTTCATTATAAAATCCTTCACCATTAAAGAAAACATTATCTGTATCGGTGCCTATGTGACCTAATTTCAGAGAATTGGACGTGCTCAAATTCTGTCGCTGAACCTCAGCATCGCGCGAGCGGCCACAGGGTCAGCGCGGTAGGATGGGACCTTGGCGTGCTGCGGGGGTTCGGGAGCCTGGTGGTCGGAGGGACCTGTACCAGCTCCGCAGTGTTTTTCCCATGCAAAGGACGTTTTGTTACTTCGGGGTCACACTTTAAATTGTTTTCTAAGTAGAATAATGAGAAGCAGCCTTTGCAACCCCAAATGCGGTATGTGGAATGATCGTGTTTCGGTTTTTTGGGTTTTTTTTTCCTTCCAAAAAAGCATCTTCGGTGTTTTCACAGTTTAAAGAGCCAGTGTGTGAACTGAACAGGTTAAATACTCTTGCAGGCTTTCCTCTGCGTGTGACTCGGGACTCGCGGGTGGTGGATGACTTCTGAGGAGCAGTTTGTAAAACCGGTAAAACTCCTGTCAGTGGGATTCATAATTGCATCCATGGCAATGCCGCCTTTATTCTCTCTCTCTCTCCCCCCCCCCAAGCCCCCCCTTCTTTTCCTCTTACAACAGTAAGAACAAAGTTTTCTTTAGTGTTTGGAATAAACGCTACAAGATGTAAATGGGGGGGTCAGGCAGCAAGCAGGTTCTGCTTTGCCTTTTTATAATGAGTACTTCTAATATTTCTACATTTAACTTGTCTTTTGTGTTGACTGCAGGTTTTTATTTATTTTTTGTCTCACCTTCCTGCAAATATCTTTCTTTTCTAGTAGCAGTTTCCAGTTTCTGCGCCACCCTGTACGCTGTCGGCAGGGAAGCTGGCTGCGCGGGGCTGCGCAGGTGACGGCAGCACGGAGCGTGCAGGAGACGGGAGCTGGCGCAGCAGAGCAGGGCGCTCCGCCTGTCACCACCTTCAGGCAAGTTTGTGACTCGGGGCTGCCGGCGGCTGCTGCAGCACTGAAGGATTAACTCTGCATTTAACTGCATTTAAAGTAGGGTTCTGTAGCCTCTCAAACTGGTAAGGTGAAGAAAGAGGGGGGAAAAGTTGTGTTTATCCCATATAAACCTGAGCTCTTTTAGGTCTTTTGGAGCTCAGCAGGTTTGGAGCGTCCTCCCTCTCCCCTTGCTTTGCTGCGCCGGGCACCGTGCTACAGGCACCGCGCAGCGCCGTGCCCAGGAGCCCAGACCTGGGGGCAGAGAGCCGAGCTGCTCGGTGGTTATCGCTGCTCCCAGTGACTCGATCGGTTCAGTAAAGGCATTTGTAATGAAAAATGCCTTCAGACCAGGTGCCGGAGTAGAGCCCCATAACACAGACTTCCCTGAAGTGGATAGAGAGCAGTTTCTCTCCTGTCACTGTTGTCTCACAGG